GATAGATAGATAGATAGATAGATAGATAGATAGATAGATAGATAGATAGATAGATAGACGGATGATGGGATGGAGTGGCGCCACTCTATTGATGAAGAGCGATGTCTTTTTCCTGACGGGATGCAGGTCTGTTCTAACAGGAGGAAACCTAAAGAGTCTGTGAGAGTGTGTGTGGGTGAAGTCCAGGAGAGGGGAGGTGCTTCATGTGAGAAACAGCATTAAAGGGGTATTTTCTGCACGCTGTCCCTGCGTCTGTGGTTACGGGAAACCCATGACAAGAGCTCGTGTGCGTTTCTGCATGGAAGAGGAATTAACGCATGTGAGCACTGCCACATGTCAGCCCGTGCACTCGTGTGTGCACGTCGCTGTGTTGTGTGTGTGTGTGTGTGTGTGTGTGTGTGTGTGTGTGTGTGTGTCGGGGCACTTACAAACTGGAGGAACACATGTCCCAGTGCATGGTGAGGCTGGGGTTCAGGCTGAAGGCTGCTCTCCACAGTGGACAACACCTCTTTGTGCAACTCCAGGATGTCCTCGATATTTGAAAACAGAATCTAGAAACCAGAGAATACAGAGGGAGGAAGGAAGGGAGGGTGGGAGGAAGAGCAGACCAAGAGATAAAGACAATAAATCAGTGAGCGGTACATTTATCTGTGCTTGACATCGATGTATTTTTTTGATATTTGATCTGTAGGCTCATTTAAAACCCCGCCGTACCTTGACATGTTCGGGTGAGAGACACTGTTGGTCGTCTGCAGTTTGTCGGATTCGGTCCAAAAACGCCTGAAAGGAAAGAAAACGTAACAGGTTTAAAAAATAGGTACTGCTCGTCTTTGGCCGTCAGTTGAAGGTCCCATATTGAGTCGGTTTTTAGCAAATTGTTTAGCTCAAAATACTATTACTACGTTACATGACTGCATTAGGGCTGCACCCGAATATCCGACTATTCGTTCGCTGTGCTGGAATCGGGATATCAGTTTTGATTTCCTCCCAAATATTCGGGATAGTTGTCATTAATTGGGCCGAGAACAGAAATTGCTACTGGACCAGCCCTAGACTGTATAACTCCTGATGCTATTCCTGTTCTGAACAGGCTGCTGCCGTCCCCTCCACAGACTGTTTTACATATAGGATGCATGTGTTCTCTTTGCTTTGAGGAAACAAACATCTGCACTGATACGCCTCAAACACACAAGCCTGAAAGACGCACTTATGTTAATTGCCCTTCATGATGCAAGACAGCCCCATCGTTTCCCTGTCCCTTAGGTACTACAAAACCTTCCACTATACGACAGGTATAACATCTTGTGGCCCTTTAAGCTCACTGTATGGATCCTCTATAGTGGAAGCTAATGCACCTGAGCATTCAGCTGTAAGACATCAGCCAACGTAGCTGCAGCTTCTACACACACCAGAACAGTCAAGTGAAGCTTTGCTTGTGTGTGCACTTTTGTTTGTGTGTGTGTGTCTTCATGCCTGCCAATCAGGATCCTGACTTGGAAAAAAAAAAAAGAATGGTGAAGACAGGGGAAGTGAATCTGCAAACAGTTTCTTTTATTCTCTCTTCCCCATTTCTGTCTATCGCACCGTGTCTGACAGGCTCGACCTGCCTCAGTCTGTCTGCCGCCGCCTCATCTGCAGAGAGGGATGGAGGAAAGGAGATACGTATTCCCAAACCCACCGACACAACTCTACTCCTGAAGGCTGCTTCATCTGCCAGACTCCCGCTGTTGTGTCTGTCTGCATTTCAGAGCCTCAAGTCTGAAAACTGATAGCTTTGTGTGTGGATCAAGGGTGTTAGAAAGGAGAAGAAAAAGCAAGCAGCGTGTTCAATGATGAATGTACAACGACTGAAAATCTACTGCTGCTGTTCCAACCCCTAAACCTTCACCGTTCACCTCAAAAGGCAGCACAATGATCTTCACACAGTCAGTTTAAGGGCGGCTCTAGTGGTATTCATTGATTTGGTTTTATTTATTCAGGTTTTGAGACAATCTGTGTCTTCTGCCAGATTCACAACCACAACACAACGACGGAAAATAAAACTCGTGAGCATTCGGCCAATCAGACGAAGCCCGAGCTGGCAGTCAGTTACTCTCGTGTTAAGAGGTGTGAATCTGGTGGTAACTGTGGGGTTACAGGCTACCACACGGCTCAGGAAACAGACACGAACGCCTTCAGGTGTTCTTGCTGAGTATGGAAAAAATATTTCAAAGGTAACGGGAAATTTAGTTTATCTGATTTTGTATTTTTGTATGTGCATTTTTTTTTTTAATAGCGACATGTTGAAATCATTTTATTCCTTCTTTAGAGCTGTTCAGTGCTCAGAGTGTGTGTTAGCATCTGTTAAAGCAGAAACACACAGGAGCTGTGGAGCAGTGCACTTCAGTGTCATATCACGCAAGCCAATTGAAAATGATAAAAAATAAACAGCAATGTATGTTCTGATGTGCAGCTTCCCACAGAGTCAGAATCATCTGCAGTGAGGAACACTCGGATCAGTACCAGTGCAATGCCAACGCTACACTGCAGACTGCACAGCAACAGGGCTACGTAGCCAAAGTTTGACAAATACAAACTTTTTTTTAAACCTAAAACTGCAAGGTTGGTGGTTCTATCCCCTCCACAGTGTCCTCGAGCAGGACACTGAACCTGAAGTTTCTCCCAATGGCAGGAAGCACCGTGCATGGCAGCTCTGTGAATGAATGTGATCTACTCTCAGATGTTTGGATAAAAGCGTCTGCTATGGGAAATTGTAAATAGCACAGTGGAGGTAGAAAGGAAATGTTGGGAACCAGAGCAGTGGGATGACATGCAGCGAAGGCCGGTCCGGCCCGGAACTGAACTGGAGACTTGGCTGCTAGAAGCATTTTAGCCTGTATGATATAAGGCCGAACCACTCAGCACTCAGAGCATTAAGCTTCAAAATCAACCACTTACACATTTAAACTTGAATATTTTCTACCAAATAAACAGTTACTTTCAAAGCCGCCTTGTTACCGTGAGAAGCCCAAACATGGCTCAGCATCACTAACGGTACGTGTGATTTACAGGAAGCCTTTGCATGCTCTGTGCAGTCACACAGCGTCAGGCTGCTGCCTTACTTACAGTAAGTTCTGGGCCATAATAACAGACGTACACTTGTAATCACACATTTGCTCTAAAGATAGAAGCCAGCCAACCGAGCAGTCAGCCAGCAATTTTATCCGTTCCTCACAGACTGAAGACTTCTCCATTATTTTTTGTCTTCACTAGTTTTTGCGTAGGTTGCACCAAAATAGAAAGCAAAGGTCTCAGCAGTGACCTCACTAATTAAGACCAGCATTAGAGGGAAGCAGTAGTTCCTGACTGGTTTTGGGAGGGTTTGATTGTGCTCGAGGCTAATTAAATCTCCCATATGGCAACTTGTGGGGTGTCCACACCGGAGGAGTCACTCATGTGAGAGATTACCGCCCAACAGAGGAGACAAGAAGAAGAAGCAAACAGGTCCTTCATACAGGGGGGAGGAAAGTGAGGGCGGCTGCAGTGGAGAGCAAAGACAAACTAAAGTATCTCTGGAGTCAGTTGTTACTGCCATCCTAGACAGGACTCGCTCCTGAAACCAATGTGCCACACAGATGTGGTGATCAGCAGGAGGACGGTCAGCAGGAGCAACAAAGAGCTCCTTTGAGTCCAGGTCTCACCCAGCGTTGTATTGGCTGTCTTCATTGTTCCATCACAAACTACACAGGATTATTTGAAGAGAAACCTGGAAGCTTTCCCTGTCCTCCATCACAACACCAGCTTCAGAGCAGAGGACACAAGCTAAGCACGTCCAGGTTCACTCAAACTCAGAATTCCTGCAGGCTGGATGGTCATATTTTGAGGCGTTATGAATCTAATTAGAAAGATGCTGACATGTGATGGACAAGCCGAGCATCATGACTCGCACTGATCTTCATATTCTGTTTTTACTTGAGCCGTAACGACCACCAGAGACCTCCTGCTGAGAGAGCAGACAGGTCAGTTAGTCACCTTCACAGGAACCTGGTTTGTTTTGGCTCTCTACAGTTTAAATCTGCCATTTGGCGTATGACAGATCACCAGCACTCACAAACTATGAGTCAGGTTTAACGCTGTGGGACTGCCTTAGAAAAAAGTTAAACAAAGTCAGTGTTTCCTACTCTGGTTTTATGACACAAACAAGTCGATTGCACCCTCAGTTAACCTTCAACATATTATGAGTTATGTTCCATTCGCACTGAGAGGACAACACCTCAGAGCAGCACACACACTGAGGTTAGGATATAAATGAACATATGGATACTAACAAAACCCGTCTCTTCCACAGCGAGGCCACTTGTCACTGGGGGGAAAAAAACAGCTCCCAACTGGAAGCTGGGAACGTCTTCATCGACATGCTAAGAGGCAGGAGGCGGTCCTTCTTTACTCTGATATCTACATCTCTGGGGAATTCTTCTGCCTGCTTTCTGACATCAGCACTTGATCAGCGAGAATCACACAATGATGAATAACAACAACGCTGCCTGTGTTGGTTTAAATGGGCACAATGTCTGCCAGTTTTCTGGAATCAGCCATACAAGATGATTGTGTTTACCCAAAGCAAACCTGGGTGTCCATATATAAATATAAATATGTATGTATATTGTGTAACACGCTTCATTACTCCCATCCAATATCTAAAAATAGCGATGACATCAATCAATGTGTTAATAACCGTTGCTCAGAAGGGACACAAAGTCATTTTTGACACCCGTGGAATCGTATTAATGAGTCAGATTGGCTCAGAGAGGCTCAGGTGCAGGACGCAGCACAACATTGCACATGATGGTCTCTTGCCACAGGGTGACGGACTGTTAGGGGAAACTGCTCGTGATGCAATCCCACAGGAAGCAAAACCATGAAGCTCCTTCACAGACCACAAAGTAGCTGCCAAGTACGACACTAATGCAGAATCATACCACTGATATTTCACTATGGTAAACCCAGGAAAGTACAACATCCTCTACAAAGGAAGCAGCTAAAAGTCCGACCAAAACCATCAAGCGTTCAACTCTCCATAACACGATGAACCAGCTGAGGGGATATACGAGGTGTGTCAGAAAAGTTCCAGGACTGGTGTCACAAAAGATAGATTTCAAACCCAAACCACAAACTACCAGTGTTCCCCTTCGTAGTAATCCTCCTGGAGTCTAACCACTCCCTCAGCCTTCTCGTCACGCCGCCATGCACTCCTGGAAGGATTCTCCTCTGAGGCTCCGTCGTCACAGCCATCTTGATGTCGTCTTCTAAACGGGTCCCCTTGATGAGCCCTTGAGCTTGGGGTAGAGGAAACAACCCCACAGAGCCAGGTGGGGTGAGTAGGGAGGCTGCACGGAGATGTTCTTCTCAGCCAGGAGCTGTGGGATGCTCAGGGCGTTGTCATGGTGAAGCAACCACAACTGGTCCTGACACAACTCTGCCTCTTCTGGATGAAGCAAACGCTGCAGGATCTCTGTAGACGTGCTGGTGGATCGTCTGAAGGGGAGCACTGGTAGTTTGTAGTTTGAAATATATTTTCTGTGACACCAGTCCTGGAACTTTTCTGACACACCTCGTATTTATAAAGTATATAATTAATAAAATACATTTTGTGGCAACTTTATTTCACCTTGACGTCTCCAACAGTCCTTTCCTTTACACCTCCAATTAGAGAACCAATGCACACATAAAGCAACCTCACTTTTAGTCATACTGGCCTTCACCAGGCTGCACTGCAGTTATGCAAGCATTGCTGCATGTTT